TCGTATACATAAAATTACTATTTACTTGATGAAAATTTAAATAATTTTTTAAGTAATTTTTGTGAGTGATTTTTTTGTGTATTTTTAGGCATTAATATGCAAATATAATACTTTTTCCTATTTTCATCCCTCATGTTGTAACATTTGTTTTTCAATCCTCGACTTTCATTTTGCTTTTATTTCCATGCAACGTATATATATTATATTTTAAAATCAACATATACTTCAACTTATATTACTTTTATTATTTAAATTTCAATCTTTGAATTTATCTTTTTTTATAAAAATTTTCATCCAATTAATATTTTTATATAAAAATTTATTTATTGATAAATATAATTTATTTTTCTCTATGTTTGAATTTTAGAATAAAATTTTAAAACATGATTTTTTTTCTTTTTTAAAAAATAAATTGGTATAATAAATATATCATGAATTCTTAGAATTTTTAAATAATAGTTGCATATATATAAATATATAATTATTTTATTCTAAGAGGTTATAAATGTATTTTAAATAATTTATCTCGAGTTCACTAGATGTGATCAAGACGTGTAAAAAAATATTGAATCATTATTTTTATTAAAAAATAACTATACATCTTCCAATATTATACAAATTATTTACTATGAATATTTTTTTTAACATTATAAAACCAATTTATTTGAAATAAAATAATTAAATTTTTTTAAAAGGAATCAACCAATTATTCAAATATAGTTATTTATGCTAATTTTATTGATTATTATTTTTTAAATAAATATATAAAGATCAATTGCATAGACTTTAAAAAAATAATCTTCTCACCAACATTAAATAAGAATAAAATTTTATTTTTTGATTAGTTAATTTTTATGCAAGTCTATACATTAATTTTAACTTTATTTTTTGGATAAATTCTTATAAATTTTTTTAAAGTATTTGTTTTTAAATTCTTAATTAATATTTAAATTTTAAATTATTATAAGTTTTTATTTAAGAATCCTTGAATAAAGAAGAATAAATCATTTTTTTAAGTAGAAATTTTATGAAAAACACACACAAAAAAGAAGAAGTAATAATTAATTAAAAAATTGATAAAAAATTATAAAATTTTAATATGACTTTGTTATATCTACCCGCAGCGTTCATGCAGATAATTTCAACAATTAATCTTCTCATCAACATTAAATAAAAAAAATTATTTATTAATTTTTATCCATTGATAATGACTTTGCTTTTTGACATATAATATTATGATAAATATGTTTTTAAAGTTTTTTTTTAATTCTTGATTAATATTTTAGTTAAAATTATTGAAATTTTTTATCTGAAAATCAATCCATAAAAAAAGAATGATTTATGTTTTTTTAAGCATAAAATTTATGAAAAAATTAAAAAAATTAATTAAATAAAATTTTTTTAAATGATTTGTTCTATCGGACTCGTATCGTAATGCGGACAACCGACTAGCACAATAAATATAATAAAATGTCTATTGGGCTACTACAATGCAAGTAGCCAGCGGCATTTAATCGATTGCTTGCTCCCCTATATGGTTCAAAAAAAAGTTCAAATATATATAGCATATTTTTTTCATATTTACCATTGCAATCATTTAATTTCATAAATTTATTTTACAGTGGTTTCATTATCATTTGATTATACTTTTCTTTCTCTCACACAAGATTATCTATCCAAATAAGAAAAGATAATTGAATCAAATTTTGACCACTAAAAGTTTCATGACAGTATTATCACATTCTATTTCTGTACTATAAACTATCATATTATAAATACTCCATACGAATAAATTCTCGTGATAAATAGCCTAATTCCATAATATTTTGGTTTATGTCCTTGAAATTTTAGATAAATTTGTTTATTTTTAAGTTTGATTGATATAATTTTTTATATATTAAAGATACCACGTAATACTTTATAATAATAGATATCAAACTCTATCTAAATTCTATGTTTAAGCTAATAAATCTGATTTTCGGGCAATTGTTTTAATAATATCAGCAAGGTTTTTATATAATTAATTATATCATTGTTAATACACATGACATGTTGACTCCAATAGATAAATCTGGTGACAAAGTAGATTTTCTCTCTCTGTTTTTTTTTTTTTTAAAAAAGTTCACCTTGGAGTGATAATCATAGAAATCTAATCTTTTAAATGCATCAAGTCAATGTACAAAAATGTATTCTTAAAATTATTAAAAAATATGACTTGATTTTAATCTACACATGAACTAGTCTAAAGATATAATCCGCCAACGAATTAAAAAAAATGACACCTAACACATTAATTTCATTACATAATTTGCTAATTTAATTACACGGTCCATTATTTGATGGCATATTTATTAGTACAAATGTGTAATTTATTAACAATAGTTGGAAAATTTCCAAGGAACCATGATATTGTGATAATTTTTGAAAAATTAAATAATATGAGTGATTACATTTGTTCTCATAACTCTATTAGTTTTTTTCCTGCACTACATGCATGATTAGATTATAAATAAATTAGTTTTTATGATGAAATTAAACATCTATGAAATTCACCAAAACAGATTTTTGGAAGCTTAAATGAAAGAAATTAACTTTGAGGTGATTTACAATCGATGAAGTAAAGGATCTAATTATACAAAATTGAGTGTCATGCATGTGAAAAGTAATTAATAATTAAATCCAATTATAATTATGCAAATTTTAAGAACACAATAACAATTTTTTACGTATGAGAAGAATAATTTTATTTAACCTTTACTCGGATCTACTTGATGTAAATGATGAATCATTTTTATTTTGTTTAAGGTTCTTTTTTAACAACTTTTATTTTTCGAATCCACATGTCAATTTCTGGAAGGTTCAATCAATTGATTGAGCTTTTTATTTTCTTTTCAGTTTATTATCTATGCTTAGTAATAAAATAATATATCAAATGAAATTAATCAAAAGTTTATAAATTTAAAGTTAAAACTTTAATTCAAACTCATACTCACTTGACAAAGGCAATTAAAAACATTTCAACTAAATATATGCAATATGGATTCAAATTAAAGCTTACGCTATAAGATTCAAAAGTACTAAACTTATTATAGTTAATCATATTCTCATTGAGCCTAGTTTTGATTCAAAAGTTTTGAAAAAAATTGTTTTTTACTTTTTGTCTCCTCTTCCCGGTCCATTAGTTTCTGTTTCTGTTGCTTTTCTTTTTCTTACCACGTTTCAATATTTGATTAGCAAAAGGATAATAGATTTTATATTATATCATGGCAACCTTCTTTCCCATTTTATTACATGTTCTTTGACGACTAAAACCCACGTGTCATGTTTTAAGAGGCAGCAACATCGGATGTAAGGGGGCATTCAATGGCAAAGCTACTGTAGAATTTTGCCCACACTAAAACTGGCAAATGAGCAACGGCTTGTTGGTTGAGTTTAAAGTTTGATTTTTATAGCTAGTAATTTTTAAATTTTATTTTTAAAATATTTGAAGTTATGTTAAGAAATATTTTTTAATTATTTTTAAAAAAATTAGCCTCAAGATATACAAAAACTAATTCAAAAACATTTTTAGTGTTAAACCTTAAAAAAAATAAAAATTGCCCAATAACAATGTTCATGTTTTTTCAAAATAATAATGTACAGGATAAAAAATTCTTATTGTTGAAGAAACTAAGATTTGAGCAAATTACAACAAAGTTTCAAACTATCATTCAAAAATCAACCAGATTCCCCATTTACGTAAATTTCAATTATCCCATTAAAGTTCCTTGAAATACAAACACCCCATTAATAGATCGTAATTAATGCAATGCATTTTTTTCTGGTGCACATATATTCTTGCTATCAATATTCTTGTGATACTCAATTTTGGGATTTTTTTTTTTTGGGCTTATGACTTCATTTATCACATGGCAAAACATTTGTAAACTAAGCGTAGATTAGATTTGTTTGGATACAAATGCAATGCTCATTACCGATAGGTACACATTTTATGACAAGAATCAATACAGTTATACGAAATACATATATTTTATCAATTGCGGTAAATCAATGGTGCAATTGAAACTTCTGATCAAAGGACCTAATTGAAGTTGTCTGATAGTTGGAGGGTTCATATGTAATTAGCCTATATTTGTTTCATTTAACAAGCAACCATATTTTTATGTTAACCATTTTTCAATTTAATTAAAACATCTAGGTTCTCTGCCTGAAGAAAATCAAAGAAGAAGGGGTCCTAATAGAAATTAAATTGCCCTGTGGGGGAAAAAAAATCTATTTTGCATCATCATGCATCTCCCATTTCCATTTTTTTCCCTTTAAGCTTGTATTTTTTATATTTGTATAAGTGTATATCGATTCATCAACAGTTTTTAATTAAACTAAACTAAAGAAAATCTTTCATCTTCAAAACATGACGAATATGATCGAGATCTAGACCATCCGATCTTATAATTTTATGCATGAGGTAGAGGGGGAGCATCGCACATCCGATTTTTGTGCTTAACCACAAAACTTGTCGGATTACGTTGTTGAACTCAATTTGGAGTAATTCGAGAGGGTACTGCAGAAGAGGAGACAATGAAAATGATCATAATTATTAGTAAAGACTACAACCACTCCTCTTAAACATTGAAGTAGACATAAAAATGTATATACACACATATATGCTATGTTGAAAATATTTTTCTTTAAAAATTTGTATTGGGATTTATATAGATTGAAGTTTCTTGATCCCAACCAAAAATTACAGTGATGGGTACTGGAACAATTATAGTGACAAAAAATCTGTTTGAAATTACAGTTTTAAATACAAAATTTGACAAAGCGAAGAAGAAAAATTTGAAACCCCATATCGAGTCCCAAAATTGTATAATTTAGACCAGCAAACGGATTGGTGTAGCACCATGTGAGGTAGAACGCTTATCAGTGAAGTTGAAATTTGAATTTCAACTATATCCTGCCTGCAATTAGTGACATATTTACGTCTTCATCCAAAAATTTTAAAATTGGTCAGCTCCCACATCAGTAGTTGAACCAATCCCCACCTGCAACCAAGGAGATGAAGTTCCACTAGTGCTCATGTCTTTTAATTCACTAAGTTTTGCTAACTTCACCTTACTATCTGCTTCATCATCCACAATATTATTCTGAACTGAAATATAATAATTATTATCATTATTGTTGTTGTCTTTGTTGTCATGATGATCATCTTCGTTTTGGTGCTGATGATTGTTGTCATCCTTTACGTTTGCATCAACTCTGGTCCAAGGTTGTAAGTAAATCTCAGTAGAAACTTCAATGTTTGAAGGGTTGGCAACAGGTTGATGAGCCGGAAGATTGAGATCAAGTGTGAGATCTAGTGGCTCTGGATTGTTGATAAACTTCGGTCGTTGTTGAATTTGGTCTAAGTGATCCTGAAATTGATGGAACTTAGGCAAAGATGAAGTGTCTGGAGAATTTGAAGTGAGCCAATGACACCTTTTATGGCCACCTAATGCTTGTCCTGATGAAAATACGCGATGACATATGGAGCATTCGTGCACTTTCGATTTTCTTTTCGAAGTGGAAGCCAATGGAGGAGTTGAACCATGATCGAATTGAAAAGTCGATGTCGATTTTGTTGGAAACAATTCTTCATGTGTGATAACATCTTCATCATGATCAGCTAGGCTATCTTCCATGCCTCGATCAAGCCTGGCAGCATAACATCCTTTAACCTTCTTGTGACTAGCTCTATGTCCACCTAATGCTTGATGTGAATTGAAAACTTTCTTGCATGCTTTGCATTCAAACATTCCTTTAGCAATCCCCTTGGCCTTGTTCAATGGTGGCTTATATTCCATATGCGCCATAAAATTCATCGGATTTCGACGCTCTTCTTCTTTACTAGCCGAAGCACAAGACTCCTCAGGCTCGGCTTCTAAAGGATCAACTGTTGCATTAGATAGCATCATGAGGCAATTAGCAAGGTCTTCCTCTTCACTCGACGGGCAACTTAAGTTAAAATTACCAACTTTAGCTCTCAATGATCGTTTTCTTTTAGACCAACCGCAACCCCTTCTCGGCGTGTCATCCTCCTCGTCTGATCCTGGAGACGAAACAAGCAATTGATCAGCATCCTCGGACGTGCATTTTCCATGCTCAAGAAAAGACTTCCATGAAAAAAATTCTTTCCCACAATTTTCACAAACCCGACAACTCTTTAATCGATTTGGATTCGTTCTTAATGCATACATACGCCTGGTTCCTGGGGGCACATTGGCTTCCAATTTATCTTCCCAATCACTAGCAGGATCTTCATCTTCCATGTTGCCATTCTCATCACCTATACCATGTGCTCTCATGTGCCCTCCAAGTGCTCTTCCACATAAAAATCCCTTCTTGCAAATTTTACAAAAGTGCTTGAAGTTTGGTTGTTGATCCACAAGCAAAGCCATATAACCGGGGGAAAGAAAAAAATAAAAAACAAACAAACAAAAGAAATGAAAAACCAAGAGAGGAAGAATTAATGAAGTGGGGTTAACTAATAATGGAAGAGATCAAATGGGGTGAAGTTTGTTCTTGTAGTGAAACTTCTTGTGGGGTTGTATATATGGTTAAGAGGAGTACTAGCCAGACCTAGCTAGTTTCTAGATATCGTCTGGTTGAGAGAGAGAAAAGAGTAAATAATAGTTGAGGAGTGTGGTGACAAGTGGTGGGAGGTTAAGAGGGTTAGAGACTTTTTCTACAACATTGTGGTGGTGGTGCCACCGGTCAAACAAACCAAAGGAGCTTAGGTCCGTACGTCTGTGGGAGAAAGAGAGAGTGGTGAGTGAGGGAGTGAAAGGGGAAGAGAGTAGTGGTTCTAACTGCCATACCTATTCATATCCCTTCAATTCCAAGCCAAGAAAACTAAAAACTCATGCTTCTCCTTCTTTGTCGGTTGGTTCAAGCTGCTTTTCCACACAAATATTATGTTGCATAACTATAATTGTCATTAAATAACCAGTCTCCTTTTAAAGTTAATTTTTTCCTAACAAGTATCATGTCATTTGTCTAATAAAACATGTGTGTGTGTGTGTGTTTTTTTTCTTTTTTCCACCTTTTTAGTTTCGAAAGAATTCATGAAATTTTGAGTGCAATGCGGATCAATATGGCTGAGTTTTAGGGTCTGCTTGGTCTTAGTCCAAAGAGGGTAGTGTGTGTGAAGATAACTTCAGCATGATATTCCTATGATTTAAGTAAAGGTTAAATGGGTAAAACCATTTCTGACATTTATCTCACTTGAAATTGAGTCTTTAAATTTTAAATTTAGTTTTTAGGATTTTTAAACTTTTAATTCTTGAGATTCAGTTTATTTTCAATTTTAGGATCATTTCGTGATGGAAATCATTTAGTAAAATTTATATGGTAATCCAAAAACATTGGGATCATTTTGACTTATTATTATTTTTTATTATTATTTTGTATATTTTTAATGTTAAAACAATAAAAAAATATATACTTTTCGATTTTGAAAATTTTTAGGATTTTTCTAAAAAATACATTGGATTTTTTTTTCAACTTGTGTGTAAAATTTTAGTTTAAAATACCAAAAATTAATTTTTTTAGAAGAGAGAGTGATGGTTGAAAATAATTGGATAAGTTAAAACTAAAATAATAATAATAAAAAAAAATTAGTGATTTCTAAAATCAAATCTGAAATTTAGGAACTCAATTTTAAAAGAGTTAAAGATTAGATCTAATTTTAAAACCAAAAATTAGTTTGATAAAATTATTTTTTTAATCATTATTTTTATCTCGTATAAAAAATTAAATATTAAAAAATTTAAATTACATTTCGATTATTTATTAGTATTCCAAAAACAGTATGAAAATATAAATATCATTTCGATTTCGCATTTTCATTCCCACCATTCTATTCTTAATTACTAAACAACGCCTTAGAATTGGAAAAATTGATTAGAAGAAAATGGATGGGCTATTCCTGGTTTATATTTTTTCTAAAGCTCAATAAACCTTTCAAGAAAAAAGAAAAAAAAAAAAAAAAAAAAAAAAACTTTGGAAGCCCTTGCGTCATTCCCAAGTGATCATTTGTACGTATTAGGAATTGCTAACGCTTGGAATGAAAAGGACTAAGAGAATTTAAAAGTTACTCCATCTATTTTTTTTTCCCAATAAATTGAAAAGAATGACGAACAAATTAATTCGATAAACAAAAAATTGAAATAAAAAATATTATTAGCAATATATTTTATCTAAAAATTGAAAACGATAAAAGAACAGATTAATTATGACTTAAAAATGAAAATAAATAAAAAGAAAAGAAAAAAAAGATTGATTATTTTTCAAAAAATAAAAAAATATTTTTCTTGTCTATTTATTTATTTTTCATTTTTAAGTTATAATTAGTTTTATTTATTTATTTTTAGAAAAAGAATGATTATTTTTAAAAAATAATTAATTGTTATTTAATTTTTTTATAAAAATACCTTTTCTTTTGATTTATTTATGTTTCATTTTTAAATAACATTTATTATTTTCAATTTTTAGAAAAATATTGATTATTTTAAAAATGAATCTTTTAAAAATTATACTTTCAAACATGAATTAACATATATAAGTATTTGATTGGATAAACGTGAGTCAATTAACACTGTTAGATTAATTAAGTGACGGAGTTAGATGAAAAAGTTTGCATATTTAATTTTTTTTTTTAGTATAAGATTTAGTTTATACCAAAATAGATAAATAATTTCGAATGATAATAATTGTTAGTATAAGGAGATGGGTGATTTTCCCCCCATTGAAAAGCCTTATATTCTCTCCTTCAAGCTGACTATTGCCTCCTGAGGCCTGATTCCTCGTTAGTCATTTCAACACCTTTGATCTTCTGAAAAATTAAGTGCATTCACAAGTTGTCATAGAGTCCGAACTCTGTCTATGAAAAATAGTAAATGATTTCTTTCTTACTTTCTGTGATGAAACAATTTCCTGCTTTGAAAGTTTATGGTAGGTACCTTATTGTTAGTAAATTAAAATGTTTATCAGAAATTTGTGTAAATATTAATATGAGAAATTTTATCTGAGTTCATCATGAAATAATTTATTATATATGAATGTATCCAACTTAACTTGCAATTTGAAAAAATATTAAGTCTTAATGTGTAAAAGATCCATGACACGAGGATTTCTTCACCCTTAAAATCAAACAATAAAAAAAAAATTGAGGGTCATGAAAGTTACTCAGTAAACTCTTGGCTAAGCAAAGCTATTAATTACTTCCATGAGTGAAGTGAGTTTAGTCTGTAATCAATCAATTATAGTAATTAATTTTGCTTCGATTTAAAGCATCCATAACAGGGTTACTTAAGTAGTGATAGTGATAAGCAAAGAAGCTTACTTGGTTAGTATAGGCCTTCAAAGCAATCAGTACACTTTACAGTCCCAGATGATTGAGACCTTTCACTGAAGCAGTTCAATTATATGATGAACTAGCACTACCTAACACTTCACCAAATAGTGTGAATTAGCTAATGTTTTTTGTAAATTTATTATTTCTCGTCTTTGCTAGCTAATCCCTACAAACCTCTTTTTTCTTTTTTTTTGGTTCTGCCTTATTTTAGTGATTGCTTATTCTCTACTAGAGAGAGCGCTTTTACGATGCAAGCTCGTGAGGTGTAGCGTTGCATTCTGTTTCTCAAGTTTGAGTACTGAGAAACATGTCAGTAATTATCTCATGATCGAATTTGAAAGATATAGCTGCTTTTGAGCACTGACATTAAGTTATTTCATGATCGAATTTCAAACATGTCATCCACAATAAAAAAAAATAATGATGTTATTCCACCCTATAAATTATTAACCCTACTCTATATTTGTTACGGAGTTTATTAATTAATAGACTACATTAATTATCTCTTATCTTTAGTATAATTATGGAACATCTTATTTTAACATAATCAAATTTTATTGAAATATTAGTTTCTTATTGTTTAAATTCAAATGAAAAACAATAAGTATATAAAAATTGAAGTTTTCAAAATTTCAATGACTCTATTATGTTTTTGTTTTTGAAATAAATATTTTATTGGTGAGTTATATTTGGAAACACAACTAAATTCTTTTACAATAAATAAAATTTGGCTTGGCAAAAAAAATTCAAAAAATTAAATTTGGTGATAGATAGTGAAAAAAAAGTAATATTTAAACATCTCAGTAAAAAAAATGAAGAATTTCTATTGTTAATGCCTTTTCTCGATATGAGTGTTATTTAACCTTTAATATCATTACTCATGAAAAGTCTAATTAGGATATTTTGGTGTATATATAGAGAGAGAGTGGAAATAACATCATTTTAAAAAATCTGTGCATTTATACAAAAATTATTACTCGTGATCTACTCTTGATTCAAATCAGACATGACAACTTAACAAACTTACCATCTCATCCATCACTTCAAGTATCTACATAAATTATAAGGAAACATATTTTTTTCAATAGGACTATAAACAAACTTACTTAAAATTTAACAATTAATTTATTTTATTAAGCACTCTTGATGTGATAAATAATAAGTTTTTGATGAAAAACTATGGCTAAAAATATCTAACCATTCATGACTTTTAAATCATCCGAGGTTGAGTTTCCATTTTTTTTAATTGATTTTAGAGATTATTGAATTTTAATTTTTTGAGATTTAGTTAATTAAATGATTTTCAACTAAAATATCAATTATTGGTATTTTTAACTAAAAGTTGAAAAGAAAAATCAATACATTTTATATAAAAATTTAAAACTTTTTAAAATTGAAAACTATATTTATTTATTTAATATTAAAAATAGATAAAATAAAAAATAACCTAGAATGATTTTTTTTTTTTTGAAAGTTCTATATAAATCTCACTGAATGATTTTTATCATAAAAATATTTATGAGATTGTTATTTTTTTTTAGATAAATATCAAAATTTAAAAATGATCTAAATCTGAATAAATTAAAAGTTCAATAATTCAATTTTAAAATGATTTAAAGTTTAGGAATAGTTATATATTTTTAGCAAAAAAACTATGTAGATTGTTTCAGTATCTCACATTGGTGTGGAATCGATTCGTGAAAACTACTTATAGCCTATCTCATGAGTATGAACGGAAAAGAGTGAATTTGGCAAGGGGTCCTCTGGAAATGACACATGGCTTTTTCTTACGTGGCATTTTCCCTTTTTGTGAAATGGTTATGTAGTCCGTGGCGTGGTTGTTTGAACCAAGAATTTTTTGTCAGGCTTTGCCATCTAAAACAGAGTCGAAACATGGCCCAGCTAACCATTATCTTCGTATTTAATGGGCTTAGATACGATCCATATTCTGGCAACCCAAGTTTCCAACCAAACTTTCCTACGATTACTTGAAGACATTATAAATAAAATGCCTTTAAGTCACTAATTATTTTCTTCGTTTTAAAAATATATTTTTATTCGATTTTTTACATAAATTAAGAAATTTTAATCTATTCACTGTATAACAGGTAAGTGATTAAGAATTATTAAATAGATTTACTAAATGAATTTGTAAAGATATATTATTTTATTGTAATTTGACTAATTACTGGATAATTATAATAATTATGAACAATCAAGTAAGATTTCAACAAAAAAATTTAGTGTTATCCTAGAAAAAAATATATATTATTTAACTTATAAAGAAACCTTTTGTAAGTGATTATGAAATAATAAGTATTTATACTTATTGCATGCCAACTACTATCTTACTATTTTCTAAATTTAAAAATACTATAATTACAATTTCTTGAATTAACCATACAAATCCCATAAATAAAAAGTATTTTCTACGACGTATAAATAGCTATAAGCTCAATAATGATATATAAATTTAGAAAAGAAAATCTCCGGAGATATTGTATTATGTACGGGAAAGGCTATATATACATATACAAGAAAAAAAAATCTAAACAAATCGATGCCCTTACTCATGATGTAAATGAAACAATTCAATAAGCCCGATCAGCCTGATTAATTCTATATATTGAGCAAGATATAGAATTTCAACTGATTGGTAAATGTTAATTTTCGATTATAAGGTTCTAATTTATCTTCTTCTTTTTTTTTTTGGGGTTCGAACGAAAAATGGAGAGATTGAACATTATCCTTCATGATGTCTGATATAAGATTCGTAGACAAGTTCCTCACAGGGAGGAGGAGAAAATTACCATGACATGATGACAAGCACTTATATATATATCCTCTTAAATTAAAGAAATGCCCACATAATGAAGCATATCATGCATTCAACATTTATAATTTATCAATACGATACCATGTTCCTTGGAACATACATATATGTATGATCTGCTCCATATGGAACTATATATTTACCCGGTACAAGTACAACTTTCATGTACCAATCAACCACTAAAAATTAACAAGTGATCTATACTTTTTTCCGGGTTCCCATCCAGCAGGAATTACACCACTAGCTATAATACTCTTGCCAGATTCAAGAGATGTTAGCTTGATAGAAAGTGGGGCACGTAAAACCGAGCCTGCGTTAAGTTGCCAAACAGCACCCCATGATTTTTGCATGGGAACCCATGAATCTGAATCCAGTGCCTGTTTTAATTCAACTGATTTAAGTTCACCGTCCCCATCTTCATATTCAACCAGGGTTGCAAAATAGTAGGGGTTGGATCCAGAATCAACACTGAAGGTCACTGTCTTACCAGGCCAATTACACGGGACTCTGCACGCCAAGAATTCATTATCAGACAAAAATTAATTTATAAAACAAATAGAAATCTGAAAACTTTCTGATAGAGATGTTAATTAAAATTTATTTAATGTTATTTGCGGATTATTAATCACGGTGAAAAAAGTCCATACCCACAAATTATGACAATAAAAATATCAAGTTAATTATACAAGGTGTGCTTGACCAACTGTATGCTTGAATAAACTAAACAGAAGACTTTGGTTGTCCTGCAAAGAATAAAATTTGACTAATTGTACAAGGAATTTTTTTTTCCTTCTTATTTTCTCCCCCTTCTCTCACAAATTGAAGTACCTTTGATGTTGAATTTGCAAGACTCCAGCATTACGAAGTTGATCTTCTTGGCCAGATTTTGCCATGGCCCCAAAAGCAGTGCCACTTAAATCAAAATGAAAAGATTCTTTGGCACAGGGACCTCCAGGACACTGATCTGTGATAACCACAGTCACTGGATTCCCTGAACATGCGGCATTTGAACTCGACGTGCATTTCACCTAATTAATTAAAATTGGTTAACATGTCAGATAAGCACGAACTAATGGAATTCATTTCAACAACTTGTTTATACAATATTTGGCATATATAGAAATTGAATTAGCAAGTTATTAGCAAATATGATTCACCTGATAACAAGCTCCACATCCTTGGCCTGATTTGTATAGAGAATCGCCTCCAGCTGATATCATTGAAGAGAATGGTGCTTGCTCTACAGCACTCCCATAACCACAAGCTCCACCTACACACACACACACAAAGTATGAAAAAACATTACACGGCCTTTATTAATTGGAAAAAGGTTGCAAGGATTTATTTATTAGTGCAATATTTCATTCTCTATTTCAATTACCATCACTTCCCCAACCATTAGGACTACCATACCAAGTAGCCCCAGCAGGTGACCAATCAGAATCAGATTGTATCTTTGAGAAATTGAGGAGTTTGGGATGGAAGCTGTGGCAGGAGTTCATAAAAAAGAAAGCTAGAATAATGCAGAGAAGGAATGGATTTTGAAAGGAAATAGCCATAGTGAATTATTGATATATCAAAGTATATTGCGATTGTAATCAATGGCAATGTAGTTCAATTTGAAGGTGCCTCTAAATGGATAAATGGACTCGTATTTATAGCATGAGAGCTGAGCATGGTTCAAATGTGCATGGCCGAACATGGGTGAACATGTGGCATATATAGTGAGACTAAGTTTCATTTTCTTATGGTACAAGATAAAGTGTAAGATTTGTAAGATACTGTATATGCACATTCTCAAGAGCCACCATATACATCTCTTCCTTTTTTTAGTTCAACATTATGCATCAATGAAGTTAAATATGTACATAGAAGATATTAAAAGTATAATTTTCATTTCGATTCTTTATATTTAGAAAAATAATTTTTTTCAGAGGTTGATATTAAGATTAGAATTGAAAAAAATTGAGAAAGGAAGTAAAAAATTTTTATCATCGAACTAACTTTTTTAAAATTGAACAGACACACACATGTCTATATCAAATATTTCCAAAATATAAGATTAAAAGGATTTCAAAATGCAAATACAATTATTCTATCTTAATCTTTCCACAAAAGCGAGAAAAGAAGGAAGAAAATGATGTCTTGGTCTCTCTCTAGGATCTTTTAATGAAGGTATAGTACCGGCGTATTCAAGGTGAATTAATCATGTTGTTTGTGGAATATGAAATTACTTTTATATGCTTTGAATAAAAATTAAAATAGTGAAAAGTAGCATTGGAACAATTTCTTTTTCATTAGGAAAGGATCTAATATTTGAAATTTCATTAGAGCAGAATGATGTCACCTAAAATTAAGGGATTAAATTAAGGATATATATATATACACCTTTAGTGGTCAATAATCCCTCTTATGATGTGATTATTTCTTTTTTCATCTGTTTATTGTTTTCTTCAAAAGTGAATCCATGAAGTCTACTATACATTTTTTTTTTCTTTTAGCTCACATACTTAGGACTCCTAACAGAATTATTTTGTAAGAATTTGAACTTGTGACATCTTCTTATAATAGACCACTACTATTAAACTACAAACTCTTTGATAACTACTGTACATATATACTAATTATTTTTTAAATATTATAAAATTTATTCTCTTCCTAGCTTCAAAGCACAAGTGAGTTGCGTGAATGATACATGGATTCAAGGTTATTTTTTCAATTTTTGGGCATTATTGATTAACTAGCTTCTTTTTTTATTATAGTGATGCTATTATTGAATAATTATTTTATAAAATTTATTTATCAAGAAAATATCAATTATTGAATTTATGAAAATCAATCATCAGATTTATGAGAATTACTAACGAAATCTATAAATATATAGATTTCCTTAGCAATTCTTACAAATCCAATTATTAATATTTTTTAAAGTGAATTATGAAACACAATTATATAAAAATAATATTATTTTTTATTTATATTGTACAGTAGATTTGCAGGCTATTTGAAATTAAATTTGAGAATGAACCGAGAGAGAGAGAGAATAAGAATTTACCTTTGAGATATATTACCCATCCATTCTTCCGATGCTATTACAAAAAATTAATGCGTTCCATTTGCAAGTTCATTAGTTATTCAGCCTGCAGATAAGGCAGTTTAATTATCTAAATCTTTCATTGATTTAGCTTTAAATGACCTTATTGGTTATTTTGCTGGCAGTTTCCATTCATTTTTTGAGAAAATTACCGTTAGAACAATGCTAAATAATATTTCTTTAGCTAAGAAAGATATCTGTCGCTTTTTACGAGAATCCAGATTAATTTTTTCTAATAATTTTAAGGATGTAATTTCAATATATAAAATAACTCTAGTGCTATATATGGCAGAGCATTTCAAACGAATGAGATCGTCATATCAATTAATTTTGTTAAAAAAATTAAGTTATTTAAAAAATTATTTGAAAAATATTCATGTGGCAGGCATATTAATGGTTTAATGTATTACAAAACTTGAACTAAAAAGTTACAAGCTCTCATTTTTTATTTTTTTATTTTTAAATTTAAGGTTCGGAACTAATTTTTATATATTAAGACTAAATCTTTTTCTATGAAAGTTTATATGAATTGATGATGCATTTATATGAAAGTTTTTCTAGCAATTTCCATCTCTTGAGTGCCTTCAACATTGATTTTAACTGTTTTTTATTCTCTCACGCAAATTTCAAAATTGCACGTCACCTACACGTTAGACATTATTAAAATAACACTTGAACCCTGATTAAATCTCAACACTCGCGCACCTCTTAATGGTTAACCTAACCTAGCCTCTTAATTTGACTCTTTTTCCCTTTTTCTCTACAGTGTATGAATTTCATCAACTAGAACTGGATAAATCCAAAAGGTTGCTAGTTGAGACGGTTATTCTATGCGATGGCCCACTAGGCAGTTAAAGTTGTTAATGGGTCCTACTATGTTTTGTGTACGTTTCCAACCTTTTCGTCCCATACGATGACAAGGTTCCGTCTTCAAGGGGATACGGTTCTGCGTCGTAAAAGATTTGCAGTTGTAACTTGAAAGCGAAAATTGTTCGTTGATTTTGCCGTTAATGGGGGTTCTAGGCCGTTTAAAAACTCACCAGAACCTTGATCGAACGGTCCAAATGAACCCACCCATTTTCCACATGAGAGTCCACATCATTCAAAAATAACAGCACGCAACATTTGGCGGGGATTGGGGTTATAATTATCTAATTAATTGTTTTACTTGTAGTTACACTCGTTATTCACGTTGATGACGCTATCATGATAGTGGTTTTTTTGTTATTTATTTCACTAAGAAGTCCGTTTGATTTGACGTCTGAAATGGCCATTCTCTTTCTTTCGTGTATTCTTTCTTTTCTAATATTATAAAAATACTTTTTAAAGGAAAAATGCAACCTTAAAATTTTATGGAATATATTTATTACTCATTCTCTCCTCTTAATTATATTTAAGCTAGCCTAATTTTCAAAAAGGATATTAGAATCATTTGGCCGACTAATTAAGGGGGAAAGAAAGTTTTATTGTGAATGATTCCCTCGTCTTAAAATCTGTATAAACCGGCTACATCAGATAATACTTTCACTAAAATTTACAAATTCAACCTTAAACAACACCCACTTGTATTTCGAATCAAATCCAATATTTTTCTATTCTCGATTTTTAAATAAGATTTAATTATATGTAGCAACCAAGCTAGCTAGTAAGCATTCATCAAGTAATTCAAACCATATAATTTGAATTACTAATCATGTATATAGAATTCTCAAAGTTCAATTTTAAGTAATTACTTGAATGAGATTAGCAAACTAAACCTAATTTTTTGTTTTTTTTTTTTTTGTAGTAAATACGTAGAAGCTATCTAGTTAGGATCAATTGTTTTAATAACAGTGAATTGATTGTGGTTTCTGAAATAAATATGTGTTTTTATTTTGACTAATGCTAGCACGAATCAAGCAAGAACTAATTGTGGTTATCACTGTCAAGGTTAGACTTGAAGCTTCAAAGAGAATTAAAAGAGAATTTTCTGTTTTAATCAACGAAGGAAACAGAAGCTGCACATGGCCATCGTTTTCACTCGAGGAAGAATTAGACAGGACTTTCAAAATGGCGGGGAAATATTCTCTGCGTGGATAAATTGCCGGTTGGTGAAACAGAAAATAGAGGAGCTAATTATATTTTTTATGTATAAATAAGTTTATCAATTTTTCTATTTGAATGTGTCAATTTTATTCTTAACTATTTTTTTATTTATCAGAAGCCTAATGCCCAATGAATATATTGGACTACACAATGAGGGTAGCTTTCCTCGTTACATAATCAGAAAAAAAAAATACTAGAGTTATCGGGATTGGAAAGCTAGTTGGATGCACAACGGTTAAGCTAAACCTATTTGTATTATTTTTAACTATTGATTTGTTTTTTTATTTGAATAGTTTCATTATCTCTGCACTAATGTGTGCTTTAAAACTATCTAAGTAAAAGTTTAAACTCGTTAGATAAATAAGTATAAGTTTTATGAAATTAAAACTTATACGGACCTATACTTCTTTGTAAGTAATTATAATTAAAAGATAAAGTGAAAACAATAAAATTTAAATTTATGACTGTTTTATCACTAAGATTTTGATATCATGTGAAAAATAATTTCAATTCAAAAAATAAAATTATTAGATAAATTTTTAAAATATAATTTATATTATTATCCAATAATGTACAAGTGACACCATCTTGTGAGTCCCGTTATCATGATAGGTGTTCCATGAAAACAGACCGTTTTCAAATCTCCATCCACTTCTCGTCAATGGCTGGCACAGCCTAAGATGGTATTTTCATATGACTTGTGGTTTATAACACCAGAGACACTTGAGAACTGAAGCCATTAAGTTAGCCCCAACTCAAATGGGTTTCTAATTTCGCAAAATCTTGCAAGCAGGCTGATCCCAACATGAAAAAGCACCGTTTCTAGCATCAGTAGGCTGAAGCTGTGTATTTCTTGTTGGGAAGGAGATCACAGCAATTCCAAACCCAACTTCTTTAATACAGTAGAAATCTGGAAGAACATGAAGCATTGTCTCTTGGTGAATGAAACATCTTCACATAAATGATTTCCTTTTGAGACACGTTCTAAAAGGCAGCTCACCAAACTTTCTGAAAATAAAAGCCATGGCTATGTCTATACCTTGGCTGTCTATAGCAGCGATAGGAGATGATAACAGCCCAAGCTATTGGCACGAAAGGGATCCGCGAGGCACTAACTTCTTATCATTTAAAGCATGGGTTCTCTTGGTATTGCATTAATAGTTTTTGGAAAATAGAATTCCACGGTCCTGTTAATTACAACTGTGGTGTTCCTTTGTTTAAAAGAGAGACTTGTTTTTGTAACAAATTGTTGTCGATTGGTAAATGAACTGATCACTTGGTGAATTTTTTGCTCATATGCAAAACTCGAATTTTAAATATGAT